TTCTGTATAAATGATCATAGAAAGAGTGCTGGTCCATAAGCGACATTTTCAAAATCTCGCGTAGCCAATATCAAGTTAGTCGGCCATGATGTAGTACAGTACGCCATGTCGAGTTCTTTTTGCCCTCGTGCAGCAGACACGGAGACACGGAGACAAGGCTCGATTCTACTGTATGTGACGGCCACCGCAATTTAATACCACGTGGGCCAGCTAAGCAAACGGAGTCAGCCATGATGTGAGACAGTAAAACCAAACCACGCCATGTCGAGTTCCTTTTGCCCTCGGGCGGCAGACACGGAGACACGGAGACACGGAGACACTGACCACGCCATACCAAGGTCCCTTTGCGCCCAGAGAGCAGATACAGAGATAGCTCTCGAAATTTCTGTGTATCATCATCACGGCTGCTATCTTTCAAGGTCATGTGAGCCGGCTACAAGAACATAAGCAGTCGCTTCTGGGCTAACACTTCTTCTGCTACAGAACCGTTAATTCTTCATAACGAAAGGAAGAAACTTCCTCCGGACTGCCGTCTTGCAAGTCAGAACTCTGTCCCTGTGTGTCTACAGCATACAACCCGTCGGTCAGCTTGTCACATAACGGGAGAGTGGGTATGTAACACCTTCTGGACACCCGTTGTCAGTCTGACCGCACATAAGTGGGGCGAGGGTGCACCCTCTATGTGTGTCACAATTTCTTCGTTATGATATATATTCGGGTGGCTCTCGGTTCAAAACTGACTGTGATTTTAACTGGCTTTACTCAGTCCCTCCATGCTAATACGGTGTCAGTACCTTAATCAGGACACGGTCACTCCCTTCCAGATAATTATTTATTCACTGTTGTTAATCAATCATAAATAAATTAAAAGGTCACTTAGAAGTAAAATTTATGTCTAATGATGGGCCGATAAATTAAAAACAACTGGAAAAGAATTCGAAAGAAAGAAATCATGGGATAATTTGTGGTAATACTCCAGTATATGTGTGGCAGAACCGAGGAAAATCACGAAATAACTTCAATCAAGATGTCGGAGCTCCTGGCCGAGATTCGAACCCATAATTTCCTGAACACAAAAGAGGAGTGTGACTAATTACACAACCATGTTCAGTACTTTCAGAGCACCACGGCTTCCGGGTCGCGGATCATTAGGTAGGATCTCGGTATAATGTTCAAAAGAGAAATAAGTGATTTAAAAATAATAATTACATTTCTAATTAAAATAATTGTCACTGCGAGGTAACGTGTCGCTTTGCTAATGCACTTTAATGATCAAAGTGGGAAAACGGATAATGGGCTGGACTAATATGCCGATTATCACAGCGTAATATACAGCGATATCACATTAACCCTACAGATGAAACTGTCCCCCCCCCACTGGGGCCTCAGCTGCACTGCTTTAAGAAAATGAATACGAACGGATTGACCGTCCGTTTGATGACAATATGCCACGGCAGATAGCGCACTCTGGTGTTGGATCTCAGGTTCTCACATCTTCTGTCTTATATTCCTAAATATTCTCACGATATTTAATTTATTGACCACTTATACACACGACTTGGAACTACATGCAATTACAGCGTTACCGTTAACCTCCACAATTCACAGTTCACCCCATCACCAGCTAAGACTTTTACCTGCTGTGTCTTCACAAGCCGTTTACCAGCAATGGCTTCTAACTGTGGAGATTTTTCAGCTTCCCGTGCTCATCCTTCACTAATTCTCGTGTAGAACTGTTTGCCAGTTATCTACTCCGGAACTCTCAATCCAATTCTCTGCTGCAACTGCCAACTGCCTCTTTGCCATCTCTTCCCAATTACTCTGCCATATCCGGTAACTCTCTTAATTATCTTCGACTGACGATACCCAAATAATTCTCAGTTGACCTAGGATCTTCTTTATATAGCCTCAGTGCGAAGCCAACAGAAAACACCGTCTCCATAATTAAAGCCCAACAATATCTTGATTGTTGCTTGCGTATTCGTTGCAGCGGGAACGTTTATGGAGCCGTTGATTAGCAGCGGAAGTTCCTGTGGCTCCACTATTCTGGGTTTCAGGCGTCATATCACAATATATTTAGTCTATGGTCCTACAAATCAGGTTTCCCGTGTGGAGGGTTGGTTGAATACCTCCACCGTAGCCCTGCGAATCGTAGGAAGGGACAAAAAGGGAAGTATAGAATCTCAGACAGTAAAATATGTCTTCGAGTCCCAGGGAATCTGGCCCCGAGAATAACTGCGCTGGCGAGACCCAGCAGCAATTGTAGACGACAGACCCGTCCTCTCGTCAGAGAGAGCGCCCCACACCAACAAACCCGCAACTGTCTGACAGTAATAAAATCTGGTCGTAAACACCAGAGGGATGTTCTATTCCAAGACAGACTGGTCGACTGGCCGTCGGTCGTAACTCGACTCGGCTCGAACTGGGATGGACCAGAGTTTCGCTAATGATGTTCCTAACAAACCAGAGTTCCGCAAAGTGGAAATGAGGTTTCCGCAAGAAAATTCATTTACAGAATCAAAATAAGAAGCTTCTTTATATAATTTTCTATTTCAAAGGAAGGAATTAGTAAGGCAAAGAGTATTTCTGACAAAAGTCCTTATCATGACGCTCAATTCGTCGGCTAACATCCTTCGCCAGCCCATACTTGTGCGAAACTGGATTCTCGAATTATGCAGCAACAGAAACACAATATGGTATCATACTGAATGTGGCGCCATGTTTGAAAATTCAGCTTTCAAACGTCAAGCCAAATACGAAAGGAATTCATGGAAAATAAAAGGACCAGGCTTCATGTTAGGAACTGCAAATATGGCACACAATTCCTTGCAGCCTCTTGAACTGACTACACGACGGTATATGCCAGAATGTGATACACTTCATAACCATCGCTGTGAGGACCTCAAGTTCTACACGTGCCATATTAGTCCTCAAGCTTAATTTTTCGTATACACGGAACGTGGCTACTCTTTTTTAAATATGTGAAAGTAAATAATACGAACTTATGTCCTCATTTCTTTTCATTGGCGCTACAGCCCCAATTTGGGCCTAGGCCTATCTCCATGAAACTCTCCGTTTCACTTCGGTTTTACTAGATCTTAGACATACGGTAGGACTCCTTGGGCGGGTCATCAGCTCGTCGCAAGGCCTCTACATGAACACAAACAATAAACATCCATGCCCTGAGTGGGATTCGAACCACGATCCAGGCTTCCGAGCGAGCGAAGACAGTGCATGCCTTAGACCGCTCGGCTACCGTGACCGGCTATGTCCTCATTTAATACTTTATTATTATTATTATTATTATTATTATTATTAACCTTACGTATCTGTTGTCAAATTCTTTTATTTTTTTAATTCGCTTAGTGGGTGGTGGAGTCCAACTGGGTTCACTCGTCACGGTGGCCACTGATTGTCCTATTGTAGCTTGCCCCGGGTGATTATGATGATGGAGAACTTGGTGGAATGAAGATTGGCAGGGGAAATCGAAGTGCTCGGAGAAAGCCCGCCCAAGCGCCACTTTGTCCACCACAAATCTCACTTGAGCAGACCCGGGATCAAACCCGGGTCGCCGCAGTGGGAAGCCAGCGACTAACCGCTTGAGCTATGGCGCGATCTATCTATTGTCTAGCATTTTAGCTTCATGTATAACAATTTTAATATGAGTCGCGTAATAATTTTTCGAGTACGATAATTCAGTGGCCAAATGAAATCGCGAATAATTTGATGAGGTCAAATGCAGATTTGCCCAATTAAACTACCATGCGTTTCTGCACACTACGGAGTTCAATAGCAGTCACACCCTTCTCAGAGCATGTAAATGACAGGGTAGTCTCCCCTTGTACTCCCATTTTCTTCAAATATCTAACAGAAAGAATCTGAACTTATGATGCGTTTTGTAGGAATTCACACTGAAGGTCCCTCGACACGGAGACTTAGCCCTGAGAGAGGAGTGTTGAGACCAACACTTTGGTCTAAAAGTTGGACTTCGTATTTATATTCAGAAAGAGACCAATTCGATTTCCGATCGGGGCACAGGTTAAATTGAATGAATGATTCCGTGGTTTTCTCAGTCCCTCCACGCAAATTTCGGGATAGTACCAAACTAGGCCATACCGGTTTTTTTAGGTCCTTTCCAATTCATCACTCATGTACCATTTGACCATATATAAGTGTTCACATTGAAACCACCGTAAAAATAATCCAAAAGAAGGAGAACAAATCCGGATAATACGCACATAAGCCTATCAGATCGAAAAGATGCTCGTTTAAAACAAATACACTCAATTTTGTCAGTCTTACTGTACATGAGTATTGAAGATATTTACTTTTTTTTTGGAACATGATCCAGTGTAGTCTAATATAATGGGAACAGCATTAAGGGCAGCATATTTAGGGCAGAGGAGTTCCAGTGCATAAAAGTAAGAATATTAATCTGCCATGAAGAGAGAGGCAGCTGATTCCTACTAAACCTTAATACCCTTACTACCAGGCTACACAGTCACCACCCCAAAAGAGAGAGTTATCATCAGTAACAGATCTCTCCCTCCTCTGCGAGTTTCCTTGCTCCAAATATGTTTAACAGATTTACGTACAACGTTCATATTTAACCTGCTGCTCGGATAAATTCCAGAGGAATTTAATCCACACTCTGTATCTTAATAATAATAATAATAATAATAATAATAATAATAACTCATTTGGGAAATTTTTGGTTTAAATCTCGGCACAGTTGTCGTTTATCCTGATCGTATTTCGTGTTTTTCCTCAGTCCCTCTAGATAACTGCTGAGACAGTATGTCTACCGGGCCACTAGCGTTTCCTTCCTAACCCTTTCCAATTCATCACTAACCTTATCATGATAGAATTCGAAACTCTAGGATTTGGTTACTGACAGCTTCGCAAAATGGCCCACGAGAATTATTATTACTAATATTATTGTTGTAAAATTACTTTCACGAGAAGCAGCGCAGTAGACATACACAGAACAACCGCCCTACCTGCTTGCGTCCGACGGGGCGTGGGAAGCCAACACAGAACTCCGTGACGCCACACTGACTGCTGCTGGATAACTGCCTCCAGTCTGCATAGTCCTCACCCAGAGGTTGCAGCGTGTCGCTAATGCGCCTGTGCAGAACACAGGGATGCTGTACACCTGATGACAGGGGTGTACACCGTAATGACAATAGGCGTAACGCTGCGGCTCCGTTCGCTGTACTTAATTTGAGCTAACCTAAGAAGCAATTAACCAGATTACCAATATTTCACGGCGCTGACACTCTCAGAGTTAGTTTCTGACGGAACCCAAGGGTTCTGTATGGTGTGCAGAGAAGCCTACCTCTGGACCTTAACCTGTGCCAGATTAATCCATTCCAACCCTTCACGTTCTATTCCTTTACGATCCATTTTAATGTTGACATTAAATAACTTAACTGCTTCCTTCCGACATATCGTTTTGCATACAAATCTACCCTGATGATGGAGTCAGTACTTTCCTCTGAAATGCCAATAAACTTTTAATGGACTGTAAAGCAACACATCCAGAAAACACAACACTTCAAAGCAGTCATTAGGAAGTAGGAGTCGCGGTAGCTCAGTCGGTCTAGTGACGAGTTTCGATGTGGACGGAAGGGAAGTCGGTGCTTGATTTCCGGCTAGGGAAAGCGGCTCACACCGAGGACTATTTCCCAGGGGATAAAACAGCCAGGGCGCGAAGCTGACCACTCACCTCCGCCTACCACCAAGGTTAATGTATGGAACTGGGTCTTCATGGTGTGGTTTTTCGTTAATTAAGCACAGGCGTGACGTCACCTGTTACACAACGAAGTATAATGCTTTCATTTCTTTCTTTTAGTGCAAAATGGCAAGTAACAAGAACTTGGAACGCATTCCCATAATACTGTGGCCATAATATTGACCAGACTCGGGATCGAACCCGGGCCGCCGCGGTGGGAAGCCAGCGACTAACCGCTTGAGCTATGGCGCGGCCATGAAAGCATTAAGTGTCATTTCTAGTGCAAGTTGAACTGGTAGAGACAGTCGAGGCGCTGAGATGTCTCGTGTAAAGGGAAGGTTACTGACTTTGCGGATGTCTCGTGAAATATTTCCGTCATGCTTCCAGTAGTACGCATCCCGAGAGACGCAAGGCGCCTTCCTAGTCTCGAGATGCACACACAGTCCACGTGACTGCACTGCGCGCACCCACGACAGCATAACTGACAACGACAGTCGTGACAGAGTTGCAGCTGAGGTTCTAATGGCAGTGATTATGAATTGTAGGATCGTCTAAGTTCTAATGGCTTTCAATTCGCAAAGAACGCCACTTTTTGAGGAAACATATCGCCTCCATGTTCAGGTTCAAAGAAGAAACCAAGCAGGAAGCCAACTTACTTTGCCGCTGATAGTATTATTTGCTTGCGTGACTTACTTATTCTATCCTGAAGAAGGAGCGACATGTTTCTCCGAAACGTCGGGTTCTCTGCTAATTACTTGGCATTAAAACGCGGAAGGCCATACTTTTCTTTATGAATGATGTTTGTCGTGACTTTCTTCAGTTCATTCTAAAATGCTGGGATAGTAAAAAGAAAACTATAGCTATCTTTGTAACTGGCCGTAGAGGTCCATAGGGTTGTGAGACGTCGATGCTCCCACATTTTTCTAGACAGTCGGCTCATAGATGGCGGTGAGGTTGTTAGCCTTATGAGCCAGCATTCCTTTACCCTCCAGGAAGATTCCTGTACTCATTTCTGTTAGAGGCTGAGTCGAAACCAGGGCCATAGTGCGGCTGGGAGGCTTAGGTAAATTGAAAAATCTAATGATCTCATCTCACACTCAGGGCGTGGATGTTTAGTTTGTGTGTGTGCGATTTCTGTGTTTGTGTACAGGTAGAGGCCTTCGACGAGCTGATCACCCGCCCAAGGAGTCCTACCGAATGTGTAAGATCTAGAAAAACCGAAGTGAACGGAGAAGTTCATGGAGGTAGGCCTAGGCCCACTGGGGCTGTAATGCCAAGGAAAAAAATATGACATCATCGGAAACCGAAACCGCGACCTTCGGGCCTGTAGCGTAGTGACCAAACCAACTACGCTACCACCACGACCACCACCACCACCACCACCCCAAAGTTCCGGGAATGTACCCGAAATTATGTTAAAACTTCTTCTTTCAAAATTCTTTCTAATACTCAGAAAAGCCCGTTGTAATAATATACTTATTTCTAGCTGTCATTAAGTGATGAAGGATGATAAGAGAAAATGGAGAGTATTAACCGATGGAGATGACGCCGTTCAGTCCGATAGAAATTTACTCTCGTTTCAGAGGAAAGTATTACCTCCACGTTCAGGGTAGAAAAATAAGTCAAACGAAGAGCCAACAAGAAACTGGAACCTCTCTTTCCTGCTTGCCTCTTGTTTGGCTTGATCTTCGGCCCTGAACAAGGAGGCAGTACACTGCTCCGAAACGTAGGTGAACATCTGCCCGACTTCCAGTAGTGAACACGCCTCAACGTCACTACAGTGACAGGCTCAAAGTAATCACCAAACAATGAATTGGAAAGGATGTGGAGATACAGGATCGTCGAGAATTTGATGAACCGCACCGATATATCCCTGGAGGAAAACCACGGACGTTGTCAGTCAGAAGATCTGGCATCTGAGTTAATTGAAACCTGAACCTCCCAGACTCCTCAGAACAAAGAAGGGGTGGTACCCAAATGAACACGACATTCGGTGGATACTACTACTACTACTACTACTACTACTACTACTACTACTACTACTACTACTACTACTACTACTACTACTACTACTACTACTACTACTACTACTACTNAACTCACTATTTACATATGTTCCTACCATCCGACACTATACAGTGTGAGCTCCTGACAGAGTGGTAAAATTTCCAGCAAAAGTCACAAAGAGAACATTTTATTAACACTGCATCCTGTTTGCTGCTATTTAGTCATAAGATTCACCGTCACAGAGAGTGATTTTAAATGCCTTTTTGCTTCTTGTTTCTTAGTGTTCTGACATGTTTCTCGCCCCAGCTATATTAATACACAGCTCGTTGCCTTCAAATGCACACTCTGTACTATATAAGCCAAATAACTGTATTCGTTGCCGCAAGAATGTTTACGGATATTCCTCTATTGTTATAGAAACGACCCACATGCCACTATACATAAAATACTAAAACTAAATTCTTAAATATCGATAAAAATTAAATGAACTTACAAACATTAGGGAACATTAATATTTAGAGACATAAACTCGAGTTTATTTATACACATGACCCTGTAAATTAAGCCGGACCCAAACTCTTTGGTCATTACTTTATAAAATTTCATATTTCCAAAAGTCTTTAATTGCAGTCTGAGATATAAGAGTAAAAAAAAGTAAAACTATCTCTGTACCAAGCCGTGAAGGTCCATTGGGTTGTGAGACGTTGAGGGTCTCACACTATCTAGACAATCGGCTCAAATATGGCGGTAAGTTTTCCAGCCTTACGCGCCGGCCACCCTTTACTTCACCAGGAAAATTATTTACTTAATTCCTGGTACTCATTTCTGTTTGAGGCTGAGTCGACCCCAGGGCCATAGTGCTGCTGAAAGGATTAGGTCAATTTAACAAAAATCCAATGACCACATAGGGGCTTGAACCCGCGACCTTCCGGCTTCTAGCATAGCCCCTCAACCAAGATATATTTGGTTTATTTGTGTACGTCACATGATGACAGTTTCACTTCGAAACATTTGTGTTTTAAACTGAATAAAGAGCAAGAGATATTTTAATATAACTTTGTGCGAGGTTCATCAAGTCAATGAGGATGAGGTGGACAGGGCATATAGCGCGAATGGGGGAGACGAGGAATGCGTATAGGATATTGGTGGGAAAGCCAGAAGGAAAGAGACCACACGGAAGACCAAGGCGTAGGTTGGTGGACAATATTAGAATGGATCTTAGAGAGATACGATGGGATGCTATGGATTGGATAGATCTGGCTGAGGATAGGGACCAGTGGAGGGCTCTTGTGAACACGGTAATGAACCTTCGGGTTCCATAAAATGCTGGAAAATTCTTGAGTAGCTGCAGAATTGGCGGCTCCTCCAGAAAGGCTCAGCTCCATGAGTAAGTAAGTAAGTATGTTGTGTGAGGTTAATCTTACAACATGAAGACTCAACTTGTATCCACGGGTGTAAGTTACTTGAGTACTAACCGGTGAAGAACTCCAAGCGGTTTTTCAAGCTATAAATTCCCAGACAAGAAAATACTGCCTGGGGTAATAGTGGTTATGAAATTTACATATGTAAAACATGGAACGTAATTTACATAATGACCATCAGAGTGCGGAATGCTGACATATTATTCCTGGATGTTTAGTAGGAGAAGATGTAATAGTGCAGCAACTTCACCACGGAGTAGCAAAGTGAGTTCCTGGTTCTTCGTGGTACTGATTATTTCTCTCTATATATATAGGAGGTTGGAGAAAACTGCATAATGAGGAGCTTCATAACTTGTGCTCTTCTCCAAGTATAATTAGAATAATCAACTCAAGGAGGATGAGGTGGGCAGGTCATGTAGCACGAATGGGGGAGACGAGGAATGCGTATAGGATATTGGTGGGAAAGCCAGAAGGAAAGAGACTACAGGGAAGACCAAGGCGTAGGTGGGTGGACAATATTAGAATGGATCTTGGAGAGATAGGATGGGATGGTACAGATTGGATGGATCTGGCCCAGGATATAGACCAGTGGAGGGCTCTTGTGAATACGGTACTGAATATTCGAGTTCCATAAATTTCTGAAAAATTTGTGAGTACCTACACAATTCGCGGCTTCTCAAGAAGGGCTCATCTCTGTGAAGTTAGTTAGTTAGATACTGTTTACTTAACTGCACGTTCAATGGCTCTCCTGAATGATTCACAACAAGCCGACCTCTTCGGCTATGTCGGTTTCAAAGCAAATATCCCAAGCCGATCTAGTCGATACATGGCCTGCTGGGCTCAGTACTTTCAGTGTTGATTTGATTTACAAGAAAGAAACATCTTGACCACCAATGTTTTTTCTCCAAATGCATTTTATATTTCGAATGACTGCTCGCTTCTCAAGCAAGGCTCTGCCCCGTCTGGTTCCCGTCTGGTTAATTTTTCGGTCCC